GACTGCTGTCAGGGTCAGTGGTGGTGTTATTTACGAAGAAATGTGTGTGCGCTCACAAGTCTGGCAGTGTGGCCAAGTAGTGCGCCAGGCCCCCTCATTACCTCCTCTCTCCAATCACGGGGTGAATTTATGGCCGCCGCAGGGAGGCTGTGAATCCCTGTAGATAGGCACTCCGGCACATCCACGGCCATACACATCAACTTTATGGTCAGTCCTTCCCTTCCCTACTTGTAGAGCCAGCCATAGTGGGAGTCGAAATGCTCAATTAAAGCATCCAAGCAGGACTGGAGACTGAATATTTTCAGAACTGATTGCAGTAACATTTTAAAATACGACTCAGGGCGTAATTCCCCCATAATTTAATGAAATTATTTGATCTGTATTTATATTTACCTACAAATACTAGGCAGACCAGAATAAGAGGTAACAAGTCAGGTTTTTACAGGACACAATAAACAATTGTACTGTAAGTAGTACTGCATAATTTCATGTTAATTTTTCAGAGTAACAAATATTTTCCAATCTTAAATTGTAAGTACAATTGAATTAATGGACTAAGTAGATTAATTTTGCCTTTTTAAATCTTTATTTAATATTCATTATGTAGATGTAAATGATGGATGTTCTATTATTCAGTTGTGCTTTTATTTTACCTGACCCGTTACCTTTTCATTCTAATGTAAGCATTTTACTTTAAGCATTTGTAGGTAACTATAATTACATTGTAATTTCAAATACAATGTAGTGAAATTCAATTTAGTTACAGTGGAATAATTAGTCCCTTAGTCGCTTTATTATAAATCTGTTACATTTCCTGTAGAGGGTGTACAACAGGAAGGTACGTTGGAAGAGTTTGCATTTCAGGGATTATAAATTTAAAGTACTGAAAGTGTTGCATTGACGCAGTGGAATTTCCCTGGATAGTTTACAGCACCTCGCAGCAGAAGACCTAAAAATAAAGATAAGTCCTCCGATACCAATGGCAAGGTAAATAAAAGCACTTTGACTTAATAGACCTTATTGAGCCGATTCGATTGGGCTAAAATTGGCTTGTAAGGTTTAAAGAGTAGAAAGGAAGTCCTTCCAAGCCACGTGTTCATCAATTAGAGTGAGTGTACAATAATTGTGCCATATTGATCTCGTTCTTTCATCTACTCCGCTGGCATCCCTAAGTTTTGTCCTGATGCAACACTATCTCGGCCCACCCCGCCCCACCACCCGCCTCTGTCTGTGTCTCTCTCTCTCTCTCTCACTCACTCTTTGGCATCAAGCTTGTATTACATGCAGCCACCTCAGCCCACGCTGTGACATTGCTGCGCCATTTCACAGCATCATTTATCTCCGATGATGAGCCATCCAGCAACCAAGCGCAACACAGTGACTGGGATGCAAATGAGGAAGGATGCAGTGAGGGATTTTGGGTCCCTGAAGAACATTTGTTGGGGTGCACATTAGGGATGCAAACTAATATTTGACTGGTATTTAAGATCAGTATTAATGTCAGTAAGAACCTTATTAAGTTAACTAGGAAGCTGGAGTTGATGTGGCCTATTGCCGTTTAGATGAAGTTCTCAGTTCTTAGTCAGTGTCATTTGTCACTTTTTTATCAGTTACCTTCACTGACACTACATCGCTAACTTCAAAAACTGTGTATAATTCGGAAATTATGCTCTAGTTACGTAGTGACTGCAACATATACTGTATATTAAAGATGAACGTTGAGTCGCAAAAGTCAAGCCAATGTGGAAGTGCCTTAAACCTGGTTCTTTGTATGTTTTGTGGCCTTTTTTTTTCCTGAGCCCATCTTGTGTTTAACTAGTTTCCTAGTTTGAATTCAAGGTACAGACAATGTCCATACTTTTAGGATTATGCTTAAAACTTTACTTTTTGACCAAGCTTATAGTTAGAGCTGAATCTGGTGACCCTGAAACCTCCCTTAGTTACGCTCCAATAGGCAGTTTTTTCTTCACTCACCTCTTTTCACTCTCTATACACCTCTCTGCATTTAATCATTGGTTATTATTAATCTCTGGCTTTGCTCCACAGTGTGTCTCTTGTCCCGTATTCCTCCTCTCATCCCCAACTGCTCAGAGCAGGTTGGTGCCACAACCTGATCCTGGTTCTGCCAAAGGTTCCTTCCTGTTAAAAGGACGTTTTTCCTTCCCACTGTTACCAAGTGCTTGTTCAAAGGAGGGTACTGTGATTGTTGAGATTTTCTCTGTATTATTGTAGGGTCTTTACCTTACAATATAAAGCACTTAGAGATGACTGTTGTTGAGATTTGGCGTTACATAAATAAAACTGAATTGACTTGAATTAAACCACCACTGGCATATAATGTCCGTGTCCCTTATTATGCAATCCAGCATACAGAAACCCACAGAAAAACCTCCCCATATGATATGTTGACAGGTCTCATTGGATTGTAGCGTAAAACAATTAGATTAGAGCAGCAGGACATCTCAGGTAGTGACTTAGATGCAACGTGATTTCCCACCTAATCTATTTCTCTTAAATGAAAAATGCCATTGTTAGCTTCAGATGTGTCTCTGTGACTCTTTTATCCAGCGAGGTTAAAATTATATATCAGTTTTGAAATATTTCACACAAATCTTCCTCTCAGACACACGGGGAGCGATCGAATAATCCACAAGAACATTCAAAAATCATATAGTCAGCAACTTACTTATCGGCCCCCCCCACCTGGTAGATGTCAGAGAGTGAGCAGAAGACAGGAGGACGGAGAGAGCGAGGGAGAGGGGCCCTTAGTCGTCAGATTAAAAAAAAGTATGGAATGGACGGCGCTGAATGGATTTTCAACACTATATTATGAAGATATATCTCCTCTTTTCCATTCAGAGCCCACATGCACTGACACACCGCTCTCTCCGCACACTATCCTCCCCACAGCGTTATCTCTCTCAGCCTTTATTACTCTCGCACAAAGCGTTCAGCACCGAGCCTTGCAGATGCTCTCTTCCGCAGGCGGCCCGACCACATTCTCACATTTCAGCAAACTAGCCTTATTATCATATTTGCCATAATTGAATTAAGGAGCAGTTAAATTGGCCGTATTTGCACAATCAAATAAGCACAATCAAAACTAAACTGCTTTTGACGCCTCATAATTGAGTTTTTGCTCTGCCAACATGCTCCTTGATGTTATTAGCCTATTTGTGTGAGACATATTATTTTTGTCTGAGCGGACTAAATGCACAAAGGCATTTTTTTTCTGCGTGTCTCTTGTTGCAGTATCCACCTGCAGAGATCTGAGTCCTGCTTGGTGTTTTATCATGGATAGACTGCCAGGAGCATGATGCAGAACAGAGCAGACATTTTGTTTTTGCCTATGAAACCTCTCCACTGGATAAAGTACAATCCGCTCGCAAATGAAAAGGATTTCTGTCAGCATTCAGCATACAAAGAGGTGAAGATCTGTACACAGAGGTCTTTTAACTGTCACCAAAACAGCCTCAGTAGATGAAATGCAACACAGTACATTCTGCAGCTTCTTTGCAGATACAAACAGGAGAAAAAAAACCCCATTTTAATTAAATCTACATTTAATCAACATCTTATTGTCGTACTCATTGAGCTGTTGCCCACATTCCTAATTTTCCTTGTGCATTTTCTCAATATTGCTGACTCAGTCTGGATAGATAACGACCAATAATGAGGCTTGAAGGACGGGTCCTTCTGTTTGTTCATTTAGATGTCCCCCGCCTCACTTTAATTTAGAACATTTTGAATTTGGATGGGAAAAAAATTGTGTATTGATTACAGTGCTTATTATGTCTCCATTAGGAAGTGATAGTGAGTGGAAGACTCCAGCAAAATGTCACCGTTCCCCATGTACCGCCGTTTAAAATCCTTCAGTTATACGCCTTGCTTTGCTCTCATGATTCCATTACAGAAGCTCTCCTTACGCTGTGGCATTGACTAATGGATAGCCTTTGCTTCTGTGTGAAGTGTAGGCTGCTGTATGATGTGCTTCAGCAGGTCTAGAAATGAGAAAGGTAAAGAACTCATAAAAGAGACCCTGTAAAATCAGACTCGATGAGCCCTGGCTACAGCCCCGCGGACTGGATCTGAGAGCATTTCACTGCTGACTCTGTAGCACAAATTGGTCCTGTGTGTTTGTGTTATTTGATACCAGTTGAGAGCAGCTATCCAGCCGGCAGTTGTTTCATCTCTGCGCCAGCACACCTGCTGAAGGCTGTGAATTCTCAGCCCTTATGGTTCGGCCAAGCGGAGCTCAATCCGGAGCCCGTGGATACACTGAGAAAGCATGGAATCTATGAACAATATTTGCTCACAGCTGCTAAGAAATTGTAATCATGGGAAAGTATCTCAGTTGTGCTACAGCTGACTTGACCTCCCCCGCCCTTTCTAATAGGGGAAAAGAGCAAGCCTGGCAGCAGCAATTACTTCTTTATTTGTACAACATTGCCCCCTAAAGTCTTTTTCTGGTGTATCTCCGCAGGCCCCCTCGGGGGCCGTGTCAGGAGGACACTGCATCACAATATAGTGCAGTAATTTACCACCACTTGCTCCCAGCAAATTGACCGTGGATGAACCTCACCTGTATTACTCTGTCACATTCAATTTAGGGAAAACACTGGGGAAGCACGGCGGGTCAAATAGCATTTCAAAACTAGAGAGGGATATGCAGATCCAAGAGAAATTGAGCTACCTGAAACATGCCAGTGGGTATGTAAAATAGATACAGACGTGAGTAACAGCTGGCTGGGAAGGAGGATGCACTGTAACCCTAAATCATGTCCTTCCCTACCAACCACGGTGGTGCTTTAATGACTGGCAAATCTACGAATAAACAGATGGTTCTCTGTTTTGAAATTTTTAAGAATGAAATTAATCCTGTAGTAAAATTTTTTTTAACATTTTGAATATATTTTGGCTATAAGGCATTCGTTAATGAAGGTGCGTGAGTGTGACGTGTTTTGTGGGTCTGGGGCGTCCTCTAGTGGCAGGAAGTCGACGTTATATTTTGACGTTTCCGTCTCCGGCAGACATATTGCTTACCGGAGCAAATTCTGGAAAGCTAGAAGTGGGAAAGGATTTAAAATTGAATCACGTCTTCACAACTTAGCACAATAAACCCGCATAGGACACAATGGGTAAGCTGTTTGGCAAGTTCCTACTATAGGCATGTATTCAAAGTGATTTTAAGATTCACTTTTGTCGTCGGACTTGACGGTTATGAAATCTTCATTCTGTTACTGTTGTTTAGCCAGTACGCTAACTCGTTAGCTAGGTGGCTAGTCGGCGTTGCTACGTAGTAAGGAAAGATGAGTTGCTATTTTACGTTAAGTCATTTGCTATGTCTCCAAATTATAAGGTCTTTGGACAGTGTTTCCCTTTTTACAGTATATCATGTTAGACACATTAAGGCAATTTTTACCAGAGATAACAGCTAGTGCCGTTTTTAGCCAACTTGAGGAAACTTGGCTAACAGCTAACCACGTTAGCGCCGCGTTGTACTATTTCAGAGAAGACGCACGTATAGCTTAGAGCTTAAGTTAGTATTAGTCATGGCAATATAACGGCGTTATCGAATAAAATACGAATTTAGAGTTGTCAATTTTCTCTATTTGTTTTGTTTTGCAACCGCCTGTAGCTTTACAGTTATCACATTACATAGGCGCTTTAAAGCGCTACTGCTGTTTATTTTATATTATGAACGTTTTCTATCTGTCTGGTCGCTACTGTTTGGCGGATATGGCGACTGTAACTTGGTGAGAGACTTCCAGCGTCGTAAAAAAAGTTTTAAATCAAAGCCTCTGGGGTGACACATTTAATAGTGGTGTTCGAGAGGCAGTGATTTGACTTTTTCCAGTAGCTGGCGCCTTCATTAGCAAGTGAAGCTGCGTAATTTCACCCTTGCTCTTCAAACTCGGTGAATTATATAATAAGGTAAAAAATATTTATAATAATTTAATTCCTGTGTTCAGTCAGTCGGCAGTGAAGTGGAAATGTGAGCTAACTGATTCCATGCGGCAAGTAGATGACAGACTGCTATCATCACAGCCGACTGTGAGCTCATGAGACAGAGCGCTCATGTGACAACATGTTTTCCAGACTGTTCTTATACAGTCCTGTGATAAATACACTTTGCAGTGAATGTTACTGGAGTATGTCGTGTTCAAAAAGCTATATCTAAAAGGGGTAAGAAGTACAGTTACTGTGCCTGCGCATATAAACTGTATATTAAAAGGTGAATGTAAGTTCTAGGTATGAAAAGCAAAACTGGTGGGGAAGTTCCTTAAATCCTGTCCGCAAGGCATTCTTTGTCTGTGATCTCAGCAAACACCTTGCTGATGAGCTTATCATTTCATTGAGTTGTTTCAGTGCTTATTGAATTAAACATGTAAATTTTGGGTCCTATTAGAGTTAATCCTGAAAGTGAACGTATTGGAATGACAGGGTGAAGCTGGTGGCTACAGTCTGATTGGAGAAACATTCATCTGTTTAAGCTCTAATTCCCACAAAATGGCAGCTATCAGGCAAAAGAGTTTCTATAGGGTGATCTTGTAGAACGGTCCAAGCAGCAGCTATTAAGCCTGTCACGTGGGGTGTAAGTAAGTAAAGTTTATTTATATAGCACCTTTCACAGACATGTCACAAAGTGCTTTACAAGGTAAAAACACAATAGTAATAAATACCCTGGTCTAATTAAAAGCTCTTTGATATAAAAATGTCTTTAGCTGCTTTTTGAAGGTCTCCACCGAATCCAAACACCGTAGAAATAGGGGAAGTGCATTCCACAGTCTGGGTGCAACAGCTTGGAAAGATCGGTCTCCTCGAGTTTTAAAACGAGTATGGGGGACCAATAAAAGGTTTTGGTTTGATGACCTGAGGTTATGAGTGGAGGCATGTGTATGAATCAAATTGGCAAGGTGGTGTGTGTGTGTGTGTGTGGTGGGGGGTCCATGTAATGCTCTAAAAGTTAAAACTAGACTTTTAAAATGGAACCTAAATCTGATTGGTAGCCAGTGCAGCGACTTTAACACAGGGGTCACATGAGCTCCCTTGTTCGAGCCGGTTAGTAGCCTTGCTGCAGAGTTTTGAACAACCTGTAGTAGGGCTGCCACTAGGGCTGGGCTATATCATACCGTTCATGGCAATACCAGTGTAATTTTGGGCAACGATAGGAAAATGAAATATCGCGATAGAATATGGGTAAAACGCGCATGCGCAGTGCCTTTGTTTGCATACGCACATGGCGGCGATGCAGAATGAGAAGGGTGAAAGCGAATCGTTAAATGAAACGGATGAACCAGAATTGGTTTGTAAAAATGCTGCAACTTCAGTGGTGTGGAACTGGTTTGGCTTTCGTCCGTCAGATACACAACAAAGCACTATTTTTGGTAGAGCATGCTAGCGGGCCGTCGTTATTACAGTGTTCTTTGGAAAATATGGCACACTTAATATCAATCCTTTGATTTTTCTGAAAATCGACAGTGCCCCTTATAATCCCATGTGCCTTATGAATGAATTCTGGTTGTGTTTACTGACCTCGAAACAATTTTATGTACACGGCGCTCGACAATCTGTCAAATGTTTTAGTACGACTTTGCTAAGCTACGAAGCCGCACCGCTTGATGGATTGTCGGAGCATTACAGCTGTCGTAGTCAGGAGCCTCGCGGAGTGATACGTACTGTGCTTCAACATAATATTACCGTATTGTGTGTGTAACACCTCTTTTTAAGTTTTGTAGATATTATACATGGTTATGCTGAGGATATGTCGGCCAGTTTCCACTGGAAATGCCTTTTGGTTAAATTGTCAGCAAGGAGTTTGCACTGTTACGTTTTTATATAACTTTAATGCACATAAAAAAAACCAGCTGCTTGTTTAAGTGAAAATATATTGATGGGTTTTTTGCACTAATAAAGTTGTGGAGTTGTAAAGTATTTTGACTAGTGTCAATTATATCGTCAGTTATATTGTTATCGCAAATTTTCAAATGTATATCGTGATAAATATTTTTGGTCATATCACCCTGCTCTAGCTGCCACAAAGGATTATTTTGATAGTCGACTAGTCACCGATTATTTTTGCAATTAGTCGACTAATCAGATCATGCATTCATTGGACGTAAAACGTACAGCTTATTGCACCAGCATGCATCTGCTCTTATATATCTATCATTAGCTTACAGCTTTAAGTGTTTAAGGTATGTGCTAACTAAAAATAAAGACAAGATGATAGTTTATTAAATTTTAATGAAACTTGCTGATTGTTTCGGTGGAGTTTAATAAACTCAGACATTTGCTCCTTGCTATCTAAAATATAACAGGACACTGGAGTATATTCTCGAGCATCTCACACTTCTGATAATCAGTTGTCTGCTTGACGTTTGTTCAGCTGTGTAAAAACTATAACTTTAATCTCAGCCAAACCGATTTACTCAGGAACAAATAAAATACTGCAAAAAGCTGAACAATAACATTTTTAAGTTATCTAAGTGACTTATTTATCATGTTTAACCTGAGTAGCAAAAGCCGGCGGTGGGTTTGAAAATGATTTCCCCACCGGCTCTAGTGAGCCTTGAACCCCGGCTAGCTATCGAGCTGGTGAGTAACAGATGTCTCCGAAAATGTAGGAGCGCTTTTGAAAATATGTGGTGTCTTGATAAACTGAGCAGATATTTGAAGTTTACACAGTTACATTCTCGCCTGAAAATATGTTAAACATTTATTTTGTGACCCAGAAAGAATAATAAGAGTAATATTAAAACTAACTAGCTGCCACCATTGTTGGAAACTGAGCAGGGACACGCTATGAATTCTGGGATAGGTTGGGCCACGAAGTATACACCCGATCCATCCTTCAAATCTGGGGAAATGAAGGGCGCATTTGTCGGTGTCTTCAAATTTGGACAGTCTTCGTTGTGTTGCTGTAACGTAATCGGCCTACAAATGCGGGCACAGGAGAATGCGGTTCCTAAATTTGGACACTGCTTCTTCTTCGGAGTTTAACGGCACCTGGCATCCTCGTACATGCAGTGCTGCCATCTTCTGTTTCAGTTCGTTATTACACTCTTAAATCCTACTACTTATTCCTGCGTCTTTTGGGATCTTACAAAGCTTCAAACGACGCGTCGACTATTAAATTAGTCGTTAACGATTTTTATAGTCGACATAATCGTGACTAGTCGACTAATCGTGGCAGCCCTAACCTGTAGACGAGCTAGCCCTTTCTTGTTTAGACAAGTAAACAGGCTGTTACAGTAGTCGAGTCTTGTAGAGACAAAAGCATGTATTATCATCTCGAGTTCACTTGTTGACACGGTGGATCTAAGTTTTGAAATGTTCCTCAAGTGAAAAAAAGCAGGTTCTTACTATTTGATTTAAATGTCCCTCCAAAGAAAAAGCTTCATCAAAAATAACACCCAGGTTTCTAAGGTTATGTTTCTGTGAGGAACCTAAGTCACCCAGTCGCTGTTAAATATCAGATATTGCACTGTCTGGTGCAATAATCAAAGTTTCTGTTTTGGCTGGGTTTAGCTATAAGCAGTTATTGTTCAACCATTGTTTAATGTTGGTTAAACAGTCAATCAGATCGGAGAGCTTATGAGCTTTAGCAGGCTTAAATGAGCAATATTGTCAGCAAAAAGATGAGATACTTCAGGAAACTGCTGTGTTAGCTGGCTAAAAGGAAGAATGTATATTAAAAACAGAATAGGTCTTAGTACAGAGCCCTGAGGAGCTCCACACAACAACTCTGTAGATTCCAACATGATCTGGTTTGCAAACACACTAGATATTGGAAGTTTAAGAAGTTTTAGATCCTTCCATAGGTTCACCTACAGAAGCCTTACTCTGACTTTTACTTCTTCTAGATCAGGCGTCTGCAACCTTCAACATCAAAAGAGCCTTTTTAGCTCCTACCAAATAACAGGAGAAAAAAGAGCAGCACATGTGGGTGATGAGGGGGGCAGACAGACAGGTGATGGTTGTAATTGGGAGATGACAAATTAATATATATAGTATATTTATTAATAGTGTTACGGTTACCCCTAATTTTAACCCCTGACTCACGAACCACAGGTGGGTTGCTGACCTCTGCTATAGCTGCGTCTCTCACACCAAAGGCTCACTTTGCGACATCTTCGTTCGAGCTGAACTAAACTGCGTTTGACTTCTGGCACTGTTGTGCCACAGTTAATCTAAACAAACACATTGCAGAAATGAGTGCATCCAGCTGCAACCTGTTCATGTGTGCCATCCATCCCTGTGGCTTTGCCATCTGCACACACGTGCTGAAGCATTTCAGGGGTTTGTGCTAATCCCCTGAAACCATAACATGACCTCAATTTCCGACATTTGTTCTGATATTTAACCTCAGAACCTCCCCACTGTTACAGTGGAGGGCTTTTGGCACACAAGGTTGGCATCGTTCTGTGGTGTCGACAGGTTTCGGTGCTGTCCCCCACCTCTCTTTCACTCCCCAATAGGCTCACATGTGACTCTGGGGTTTGCCTGGTGTCCCGTTCTGGTGGCATGACTGCACAAATGCTGAGAATGGGCAGTTTGGCCTGTGTGGGCACCAATTTACGCTAACTCTGCGATTTAACTGAATAAATAGGTTTGTTCTGGGCTGGCTGACTGGTACATGAATAGGTTGGCTGTGTGGGGGGTTTTGCGTCCGTGCATGTGTATTTTTAGGCTGTGTTGTCCGGTTTTCATGAGCTTGTTTATGCAAGGTCTTTTTATATTGAGGCATGTGTGACAGCTGTTTCATCATCATCATAGCTTATTATTAGTAGGAATGAACGGATCCATACCTTCCAGTTCAGATGCTATGTCAATACACTGCCTTCAGGTATCTGATGATACAAAGTACTGATCCAAGCCAGTAGAATTTATAAGCCATCTAAAGACCTGTGAAATCAGTCTGTGTAAGGCAACATCAGGTTTGGCCCAACTTTGTAAAATAAAATTAAATATTTTCAAGAATGCAATTTATGTCTATTGAAATGGTACTTATGAATAAAATAATACAATTTTAACATCTGACATTTAACATCTCATTTCACCTCAGTGTGAGATTCTTTACTGCATGCTGTGATCATGAATGGTCACCTGGCGCCTTCTTTTCCTGCTCTTAGCGTCATAGACGTTCTCACACACACACACAGAGGTCTCATGTGGAGCAGAGCTGGTGTTAGACAGGTGAAATGAAATAATAGTAGTCGTGTTGCTTTTTAAGGGCAATAAAAGGTTCCCAACAAGTGATACACCGAATGTGACAAGAGTCAGTGAGAAGGGAAAGCGTTCAGCTTTCTTGTTTCTGGTTAAACTAAAACATGTTGTAGACATATAACTAAAAGTTGTTGGTTTCTCAGGGATGGAAAAAAAGAAAAAGCCTCTAAGTGCAAACGTTGGTTTTTGATTTAATCATGATGTGTCTTTGACCAACCAGAGCCGTCAGCCAGTCCGGCCAAGGATAACTACAGGATGAACCGATACAAGAACAAAGCACTCAATGCAGATGAGATGAGGCGCAGGAGAGAGGAGGAGGGCATCCAGCTCAGGAAACAGAAACGAGAACAACAGGTATGAGACCAAATGTGACAAACTCCCAGTTCATCAGGTTGTTTGTCTCCTGGATGAGATTATGTCACTGTGTAGTCTGTGTTCAGCATGTGAGTGTTTAGGTCTCTTAACAGCTTTTTATAATCCCAGCTTTTCAAACGGAGGAATGTGGACATTCTCAATGAAGAAGAGGTCATGTTAGAGAGCCCACTGGTGGACTCTTACCTCAGCTCTCCAGTAACTGTGAGTAAATGATCATTATTTTTTTAACAAGTCTTGCATAGACAAAAAGATGATCACAGACTAGATGCATTTTTACATCACGTTTGTGTAAAGCAGTTTTTAGCCTGTTGTCCAGCTTGTGGATTGTAAACAAGGGAATCTGTGGTGAGTGGGTGAAGTGTTTAAAGTGCTTGTACATGGCCTCTTGCAGGAAGGAGTTATTACCAGGGACATGGTAGAGATGCTTTTCTCAGAGGACCCAGAGCTTCAGCTTGCTACAACACAGAAGTTCAGAAAATTACTTTCCAAAGGTACCCAGTCATTGTAGTGTACTGAGAGTACTTCTACATAAGAGTGAAACCATTCGTGCTGTTCCCCATAGACCACAAAAAAGCCTACATATAGTTTTGCCTCTTTGTTATTCCAGAGCCTAACCCACCAATTGATGAAGTTATAAACACTCTTGGAGTAGTGGAGAGGTTTGTGGAGTTCCTAAAGAAGAGCAGCAACTGCACACTACAGGTCAGTTATTTATTTATTTGTTAAATATACAGTGTTAAACCTCCAGAACACGCAGAGACTTCTGAATTGAGTGCAAAAAATATGATTTTTACCATGTCTTTGGTAGCAACCATGCTACTTTGCTTTTTAGGATGCCTTTAACAGAAAATAGTGCTTGTTATGCTCGACCTTACTGCAGAGGTAGCCATTGCAGTGTTCTCCTAAATGATAGGTGTCACCACTCAGACAATATCGCCTCATCAGTGCTGATATAGGAGGAGAAGAAGTCAAAACTTCCTTAGTCTTATCTTTTCAAACTGTGGAAATATTTCCCTCTGTATAATCTGTGAGTCTCTATCATTGGAATGACTGTAAAAACAGACACAATTGTATGCTCATGTCTTCAACCCAGCTGCAGCAGTACAACGTACCCGGTTCAAAATTTTCAAACAATATCAAGAGCAGTTCATCAGTCCTACATGACACTGTGTTAGATTATGTTGATGCAGCCAGCCAGCTGTAAGAAAGTAGAAACTTGAAAACTGTTTTGAATTGCCATCATTCTTGCACATAGTAAGTGCTGTTATCTACAGTTCATGAGTCTCACTATGCTTGTTTCTCTGCTTTGTCGTGTTGCTGCAGTTTGAAGCCGCCTGGGCGCTGACCAACATTGCGTCAGGAACATCCTTGCAGACAAAGACGGTGATTGAGGCTGGAGCAGTGCCCATCTTCATAGAACTGCTGAACTCTGATTTTGAGGATGTTCAAGAACAAGTAATGCACCGGTTCATAGATTGTTCACTGTAATAAATATCTTTCCATACTCTGCGATACCCAAGATTTTTATGTCTCACTGTTTCTTCAGGCTGTGTGGGCCCTCGGTAATATTGCAGGGGACAGTGCAGTGTGCAGGGACTATGTGCTGAACTGCAACATCCTTCCACCACTATTAATGTAAGTTCTTTTATTTCTGCTTTTGAGTCAAACCTTCCTACAGCTTTTCTCCCTGCGACAAATTTCTAATATGACTTCCTGTAATGGGCTTTTGATTTTCTTTGGTATTTCAGGCTTCTGACAAAGTCCACTAGACTGACTATGACTAGGAATGCAGTATGGGCTCTGTCTAATCTGTGCAGAGGAAAAAACCCACCACCTGCTTTTGACAAGGTACCACTCATCGAGTCAACACAAAGGATGCTTTAGGGTCAAAGTTCTAGGAACCCCTCTGAGTGCCTATAGGGGTTTTCCCAGGAGACTCTCGTGGCCTTAGGGTCATTCATGTCAATATAGTTTCAATTAGCTGCTTTTTCTATGCAGACAAAGCTGAACATTCAAGTACGGATAAAGGCTCTTTGTTATATCAGCCGATCACTCTGTACTATTACGAGTTTTCTGGCTAAACCATAAAAAAACGTATCTACAAGAAGTTAATTTAATACCAGTGAAATGTATATCAGATTAAATCGAATGTTGAGTGGGAAGAGAATTTTCCATTATGCATTGTCTTCCTATGGTCACTATATGAAAGATGCATTTAACTTCTAATAAGTTCAAAAGTTTCAGAGATTTGGACTTCAGAAAAGCAACATTTCTGTTGAATATGACAGGAAGTTGCTGCTAATATTTACTTGTGATAAAAGTTAAACACATTCTAAAGTAAACAGAAGTCTGTAAAAGCCAGCCTGTGTGAGGAACACATGGCTGTGTCCCACAACCAGTCAGGTTGCCTGTATTTACCAATTCAGATCAACACTAGATGCTGGATTGTCCCAGGTCACAGCTGCAGGATGTGAATGGTTTTGCTCTTGAATCCTTCTACAATAACATTTCTCAGGTGGCACCATTGGTTTCTGCAGCTCTGTGTACTAGCTGACATTTTGTGGGAAAATTTTGACATGTTGTCTCTCGGTGATTTATGTTTGATGCTGAATTCACATTGTTTGTCATGATACATATGCATTATGTTTGTGTTGTCTAGGTGTCACCCTGCCTGCCAGTGTTGTCCAGGCTATTATTTAGCAGTGACCCAGACTTGCTGGCAGATGCCTGCTGGGCTCTGTCCTACCTCTCAGACGGCCCCAATGATAAGATCCAAGCCGTCATTGACTCTGGTGTCTGCAGGCGCCTTGTAGAACTACTCATGTAAGATCAGGCTTTACTGTGCGTCATTTCTGAACCTGTAAATTTGACCTGTACATTTATTAAAATATTTCCCAACCCCATCTTTCTGCAGGCACACTGACTATAAGGTGGCTTCACCCGCCTTGAGAGCTGTAGGAAACATTGTCACAGGAGATGATATCCAAACACAGGTGAGACTATAATAGACTGAAGTTGGTTTGATGACTCCAAAGCTTGTTGCATGTTGAAGAGGCGTTTGTGTCATCTTAATATTTCTCTCAGCTTACCAAATGTTTCAAATGCTATTTGCTTTGTTAATAATTGCTGCTACAGCTGCAAAGTGATGCAGTTCAAAGATCTGAGGTATGTTATAAAGAGCGTGTGAAGTTTTACCCTCTGCTTTGCTGTTTTTAGGTGGTGTTGAACTGCTCAGCCCTGCCCTGTCTGCTTCACCTCCTCAGCAGTGCTAAAGAGTCCATTCGCAAAGAGGCATGCTGGACCATCTCAAACATTACAGCAGGAAACAGAGCACAAATACAGGTATCACACCCTGAGTTCATTTCTCAGTTTACCTGAGGAAAACCTCTGTGGAAGCACTTTAGTGTTTGCCAAACTATCTGTGAAGTTTGTATTTTGAAACTTTTTATTTTTTTTAGACACAAACTACAACTATTAATCCAAATTAAACAAATTAAACAATCTGCAAGAGTCAAAACTGAAACTGATTTTTAAAAAGCACTTGTTTACTGTCAGTAGTTCAGCTAATATTAGTCTACTTAAATCATATAAGTTGGTGTTGTTAGACTCAGACACTGTGATCATGACTGTCACATTATTCTGGTGCAAATTTAGTTCTCCTGCTGCTTGAATGTTGTAGGATTTAATTGTCAGCATTACACAGTGTTGATTAATTTTATGTAATCACAGCTGTAATACAGTGTCAACTGTGTTTTATATATTTAGTGGTTTCTTCTTTTGTGTGGGGCCAGAAAACAAGTGTCTTGTGTGTCACAGCTTTTCAGCTCCGTTTTAATCTGTGTGTTTGGCTGCACTGGGTGGCTGTTTAGTGGAGATGCTGTGCCTTATTTGTAATTCAAACGTATTTTAACTAAACTTGTACTGACTGCAACCTTAGCCAGTAACTGTATTCAAGGTGCAAAGATTGGATTAAATTTAAGAATTATTTTTATGTTGGTCAGTTTCTGTATTTTGGTCATATTGTAACATTCATATTAAAGATTCCTAAAACTCTAACGCCCTGTCAAATAACATTAGTTTTTGTTAGTTTTATCTAGTGTATCAAGTTGATGATTTCAAATCAGTTTTGAATGTCTTTTGCATTTCTCCTGTACTGATCTCTCATCCTCCTCCACAGACGGTAATCGATGCAAACATCTTTCCAGTACTGATTGACATTCTGCAGAAAGCTGAATTCAGGACCAGGAAAGAGGCAGCCTGGGCCATCACCAATGCCACGTCTGGAGGAACACCAGAGCAGATCAGGTTAGCTTCGCAAGATTCATTTAGTTGACAGTCCCTCCATTGTCATTTAATCACATCAGCAGATCAGATGAGTAGCTTAAGTCAATTGCTGGTTTTAATGATAAGACTTTTAGAGATGATTTAAAGTAGGATTTCAGTAGTACTGTATTGATTCAAAACGCATTCTGCAGCAAAATGTTTTCTCAAGGAACAAAAAAGGTTTCAGCTGGTTGATGAGTCTAATGGAGTTTTCTGTTTGAGGAGTAAATCAATTAACAGCTTGTTAGAAATGAAAATCCCCATGCAGAATTTGGGTGATTGGAAAAATAAGGAGGTATAATTGCATGAAAGTGAGGCGATAATGTGAAAGAGCTGTGAAGAATAACTCGGACTAAATTGTAAAGTAAATAAATGAATCACCTGCATTCATCTGCCTTATCCATGTCTGTTTGCATAAAGATATCTGGTGAACCTGGGCTGTATTAAGCCCCTGTGTGACCTGCTCACTGTGATGGACTCAAAGATTGTTCAGGTTGCTCTTAATGGACTAGAAAACATCTTGAGACTGGGCGAACAGGAAGCCAAACAGGAGAACAACGGCACCGGAGTTAATCCTTACTGCAGCCTCATCGAAGAAGCCTATGGTATGCTGCAGGAAATGCACACAAACATGCATGCTGAAAAAACATTTGATTTGGATTTGATGCAGTTTACATATAATACAGCATTATTGGAACCCTTTCAGTGTCACAGACAGAGATGATCAGTGCTGATAGGCTCGTAGCTTTATCACTTTGGCAGACACTGAGGCCATATTTCCCTAAATGAACCTCATAGGCATAAAAGACATAAAGGCATAAAACTAATGATTGAGGCCATAAAGTTAACAGGAAAGTTTCTTGAGGTCACAAAGTACGAAAGCTACCAGTCTTTTTGACGCCATACTAGTTGCCCTCTGCTGGCCATTTGAAAGAATGCATGTTTAAGGCCTGGATTAGCTGCAGCCACGGACGCTACATCTGTCTTCTGTATATGATCTGTAGCTGGTAGTAGTACTCATTCTTTTGTTCTGGAGATCGCCTGTGAGCTGGAGGGCAACAAACCACACAACCTGAAATTGGTTCACATGCAAGACCGAGTACTGATTACTGTGGTGAGCTGCAGTCCAGCCCAGAGTTTGATTTTTACCACAGGATTAGACTCTCTGGAGAGGCAGCTACTTAAATTCCTCCATTAGGGCAAATAAAATGTCAAGCTTCTGCTTTTTTCTAAGGCTGCCATACATACTACACCACCAGAGGCAGAACGTAGGACAGCTGAATTTAAAAAAATCAGTTTGGGTTTTTTTGTTTGTTTGTTTTTTAGTTTAACAGCCATTCTGATATTCCATTCCTTGTTTCTCCAGGTCTTGACAAAATAGAGTTCCTCCAGAGTCACGACAACCAGGAGATCTACCAGAAGGCCTTTGACCTAATTGAGCACTACTTTGGTGTGGAGGACGAGGACAGCAGTCTTGCCCCTCAGGTGGACCAGGCCAACCAGCAGTTTCTCTTCCCTCAGCAGGAGGCCCCCATGGAAGGTTTTCAGCTATAAGTCAGCCACCCTTTCCTCTTCATACCTCCTCTCATAGATGGCTCCTTTTTACCACCGTGCCATCCTCCCTGAACCTCCACTAAATCACCATGAGGCCACGCCCCCTACCCTTTGGAGGAATGCTAAAATTGTTCCGCTCTCCAGCCTGAAAATGCCTCGCCCCCTTTCATCGTTTCCAACCAGTGTACTGACCTCCTGCAGGGCAGACTCTCATGTTTCCTGGCTGAGGGGAGGGTGCCACACAAACTCCCATTACAGCTAGAAGAGGAAGTAATCACCAGTAATCATCAAAACGCACACCCAGACATCTTCCTGTCATTTGACAGCGCTTAGATTCTCTCATTGGCAGCAGTAGTGATTTGTTAGTGTCTTTAATATACACTTTCATTTCTTTTCCAAACGGAAATCTTTTGTTTTCAGGATTATCCATACAGAGCGTGCAAACTGGGGTGCATGAGCAGAATCTGCCCAACTCTTCGTGTCACTATGACTCAGTGCAATTCAAAAAATACTTAACATGATCCCTTTTTTTTTTTTTTTTTTTTTTCCTCCTCACCCTTTATCTGCCCCCACCCCTTTTTATTTTTAAATTATTTAATTTTTTTGTTTTATTTTTAGTGCTTGTGATATTTTCTTTTGCTTTGCCTGCTCCCAGTCAGTAGGCTTAGGCCTGCTCTCTGCATATCTACTCAAGGTGAGAAGAAAAAATAGTCTTTATGGGGTTTAGAGCCACAGATGTCAACCCCAAAGTTTGTCGCCCTGAGTTGGATGCCCAAGCTAGGAAGCATGATTTGTTTTGGGGGGTTTTTTGTTTGTTTTTTTTAAGCGGGTGGCAAGAAGGGTGAAACTTTATCAAACAGAAGGGCTGTGAATGTTTTTTTTTGTTTTGTTTTGTTTTCGAAAAGGTTATGTTAAAACGTCTAGAAAAAATATCCAGGTTTTGAGGGTTAAATAGTTAGAGACCCAATGTTCGTAGTGTGCCGTGTTATTAATAACATTTGAATTATGAAGTGATCTAACTATTAAAAAAGGCATAGTTGGGGATTTAGGAGGAGAAGAGCTGTTGGCAGCAAAAGCAGCAAGAATTAAGAGCCTGGGGACGATGTCTTGAAACCCATTGTTAACTGGTTGCTGCTGGCCTGCAAGCCCCCTCCACTTCCCCTGGTGTATGTGGTAGGGTTTTTGCATGGTGTTATATTACCCTGCCTACAGCCCTGAGCATCCCTGGCCAAACACTACGAGGAGTCGTTGCTTCTTTGTAAACAGCATTTGGAGTCGAAAGCAGGAACCGGGCCGGATTCGGTGATGTTAACAGTGATTGTGTATTGACGGTGGTGGTGTCGTGTATAGTGGTAGAGTTTATCTATAATATATGGCATTCTATATCACTATATATTTTTGAGGAATGGCAGTGACAATGATTTTGCATGGGTTCATTGTAATATGTGTCGATGTAAATTGCCTGTTCTCTGCCTGGCAGGGACGGTCTGCACCGCTTCCTCGTGTGTCTAACGACAAATGGTGTTTAGCCGGGGATGGAGCTCAGAGAAATAACAAGCCTAACTGCAACAGAAATTCAAGTATAAGTGTATATTTGAATTTTGGTGTATTTTCATTATATAAATATATATATAAATATATTTGCGCACACTTCATGCACACTTGCATACACCAGCAGACACACTGTACACACACCTCACACAGATGAGTGGCTAGTAGTAACTAAAAAGGTTTCCATAATCTTTGGATTTAAAAAGAACTAAATTTAAAAGGGTTTGTTTTGAAGTTTTGATTCTCCTCAATGTGAACATATTGGATGTTTTTTGTTTTTTACTTATTATTTTATATTTAAAAAAAATCCTGCTTTCTGGAGCAGATGAAGGATTATTTCCCAAAATCCTAAGGATTGCTTTGAAACTGTTTTAGTTGTTTCTAGCCTCGTGACTTTTGATGGTTAAAGTGAGTCCTGTAAACTCTGACCTGAGGGCAATTTGACCTCTAACAGAAGCTGTTCTCAGGTCAGCGCTCAGGTTTTGTGGATGGAGCTGAACTGTGGTTGTGTGATGTTCGACTTACGGGGGCACTCTGTGAGGGAGGGATCGATTGACTCAGTGACTAGGTCCTAATCAGAGTCTGGGAGCCCTCTGTTCTGTGGATTACTGAAGCATCTCCAACTTAAGACCATGAACCTCTACATTAAGTCTTTATCACCGAGATTAGGAATGGATCAGTCTGCTTAATAGCAAATATTTTTTGACAAAGGCAGTTCTTTCTTATTTGGTAAAAAACACTAAATTCACAGGCATATTTTTCCATTTTGACGTGCGTGTTAATCTTCTGTCTCAGTGGATGACACCGTCATGGGAGACTTCTATTGGTTCATAGCTTGGGATGGGGTGTTAGGCACTGTTGGGTGTTGTGAAGTGCAGTGAGAGTTAAAACCTGTCCTCCTATGAGACAGACATTTGCAGTCGGTCATTACTTTTAGGGGAATTAATCCTTGTTGGAAAATTTTTGTTGCAGGCTGACGAGCTGTAATCGACTCCACCTGCACTGTTATCTTTCTTGCTACTGTGCTACATTTTGTACTCCAGACCTTCACCCTCACGCACGACTACAGACTGAACTCTGGTAACAGAGAAAATCATGAGAGAGAGTTTTTCAAGGCAAAAAATGCCACACACACAAAAAATTCTTCATGACTTATCATGATTGGATTCTGAACAAATAAAATCTGTTGTTGTGATGCACAACCTTTCACCAGACCAGCACATTTTAACTGGGTGTTGCTGCAGAGGTAGATCGGCGATTTCACGTTCAGGATTGTTCCACTCTTACTTCCAGCGTAGATCAGCAGTAGAGCACGTGATGGTGACAAGATTTTTGTGTTTTCACGTTGGGTTTGCAATGTTGTCCACTGAACGCGTGTCCTCCCAGTAGATGTAAAAGGCTGAATCAAGAGTTATATGAGGATCAAGAACTTGCCTCTACACTCCTCATGTGTAGGGGCAGCATTTATGACTGAAGTCTCTGATTTGATGGCCAAGTCTGTGCTTGGCCAACAGATGATAACAGAATTTGCAGTTTTTAAAAATATTCATAAATAAATCAGTGAATCAACCAGGGGGGGAATAAAGTGTAAAATAAAAATGCACTCCTATTCACAAAAGTGCCAATCCGACCAACAAAGACTTGAGGTTCTTATGTATCTGTCTTTGACTTAAAGATTTGTTTTTCTTTATATCTTTTATTTACTTGAATGTTGCACACGTTTTTTTTGTGCAAAAACATTGCTGCTCTATTTTTCTTATCTTTAAAGTTACACGATTTGCCATGGTTTCTGTGGATAAGTGGCATTCTTTACTGTGGGCGCCTATAAAAAGGGAGGGGGAAAAAGGAATTTCATTAAAGAAAGCCAATTGTCCTGTGTCGGGCGGGGGGGCGTAAAGGACTCAACAAACGAATCAAACTGGTCTTTTCCAGCTGCTGTCCATTGGTGTGATGGTCCCCTCTGTAACAGTCTTCTAATAGTTTTCACTGTGCATAGATGAGCAGTGGGTTCATGTTCATGATGTCACGACCTGCAGCCAACCCTCTGCAAAAAAACAACAAAAAAAAAAAACGTCTGCACTGATACAAACTTTGTAATGATGTGGCACATAATGCAAATAATGGAAACCTAAGCAGCTGTCAGGGCAGACAGATGCAGGTACTGACCTAACTGTCCACGTTAGTTTACCAAAGTTTTGTCCTCTTGAAGGCTGAAAAATTTCCTTGATGGTTAGTTTGTATGACTTTTATGTGATTGGCTTGTGTCGACCCGGTCAGAATGACTGACAGATCCCTTCAGGCTGTTTAAACCTTGCTTCTCTTCATTAGAAGCCGCACTAGATGGCACGCTCACTCCTGAGTTTTCTTTTCTCTTAAATTCAGGCGCTGTTTAAGGAGTTGGAAAAATGTGCAGATGAATCCAGAAGACTTGCAATAAAACATTGTCCAAAAGAAAGAAATAAAATCAGCCACACCCCGAGAGGCAAAGGCCCACCTACAGGAAGAGCAGCTCTCACAGGTGACACTCCTTCCACTGGGTGGAGCGAACACAGGCTACTACTTGACATTTTTCTAAGATAAAAACAAAAGAAGTTTAAATAAATCTGGGATTCAGAAATAGTACAATGATTTACATTAAAAGTATTATAATTTAAACTATATGTATGTTCTGATACATTGACAGGGATTCAGATGTAATTCTAATCACTTCTAAGAAGTGGAGAAAAAGCCTCATTAGAACATGTCACACGAAAAAAAACAAAAAAAAAATAGGTGGTGAGGATGCAAGCTTCTCTTTTTTGTTTTTGCTTTTCTTGATCTTTTTCCTGATCAGGATATTCTGGGCTATATTTTTGGATAAATGTGTTTAAAGTTTCTCGTCAGGCTGCATGATCAGGAATCTTGTAATCTATCGGGGATTGAACAGAAATCACTAAAAATCACAAATCCGATGTGTCTTCCGTCCTAGGAGCTATTGGTGTCTTTATCCAAATCTAAAGTAACGTCTACGCAACAAATGTTTACAATGCTACGTGTTTGTAAAAATACTTTTCATATGCCATCACTGACCAGTCGTGACGTATCTTCTGCTCTGGTCCTCTCATTTCTTTTACACGTATTTATTTTCTCTATTCTTGTTTATGGTTTTTCATTTGCTCCAAACGACCCATCTTTAAACTGTGACTCGACTTGACTTTTACCGACGGTATGAATGAGCGATGAAAAACTAGTACACTTCAAAACTGAACATGACACACAAACATGAACATGAAGAAAAAGATGCATACAGGAAACGGCAACAATATAAGTGTAAAGAAAGCATATTGAGATTTAAGAAAAAAACTGTTCAGTGGAAATATTGTGCAAATCAAATAAAGTTATGTTGCAACCCCTTTAATGAGTTTTTCTTCCTCAATGTTCTTTCATGTTGGGGTGTTGATGGTGATATTTAATGTGAAAGAAGACAACAAACAGTACTGTTTAAAAGTCTTGAGCCAACATCATTTGTTTAGATTTATAACGATTTATTGAAATGTGGAAACATTAATGTAAATATGTTGTAGAAGGCAAAAACAGTTGGTATAATTCTTACAAGCCTGATATTCAGTATTTGGTATGACCAGTTTTATTAAACACAGTCTGAACTCTCGTAGGCAAACTTTCTTTTAATGTCTCTAAGGAAATTTTTTTTTTTTTTTTTTTTTTTTTTTTAAGTTCTCCAGACTTACTGATGGACATTCAAAGCTATTGTTCTATTACCTGTAAAGCTGATCGCACAATGACAGGCCAGTCATGACTGTTCGTGTTCAAAGTGTTTTGACTCTTTTCCTCTCTGCTATGCTCGTATGCCTTTACTGCATTGGTGGTGTGTTTGGCATTATTCTCATGCTGAGAAATAAAGCTGTTGCCAGTCAGACACTTTCCAGATGGAGACTGCACGGTGGATAAATCATATTTTCGGCATTTAGAATTTCACTAGTTTTTCCTCCTCAACCATGTTTTATAAATGGCTGTAGGCACTTACTGTTGTGCTCTCTTAATATGACATAAATTAAAATTTGGATTAATCGCACCAGCACACCTGTTGCCACTGACTTTACAGTCTAGTTCTTGTGTAATTTGGCATATCTCAGCCTCCTTAAGACTGGCCTTTTGGAAGCCATCCAGCAGATGGATTCCTCCGATACTGTGTAAGGTATACATGACTTTCAGACACTCTTCACTTATTGTAGGTGGTTTTTTTAGGCCTTAAGATGCTACAACCCATGGGTTGACAGTTTATCAAATACTAAATATTTTAAGTCTTCAGGAAAGACTCACTCCGAGGCTGTTCTTTATTAACATTTGGTCCATTTTCATCATCCTTTTCCTGCCGTTACATTTGTCTGCCCATCAGGGACTCTCAACCATTAAATGTGCTGTTTATATTGCTCTGTTAACCATGGCAGTGGGACTAGAGCTCTGTAGTAGCCACCAGGTAGTCCAGCTTTCATGCAAACATTGCAGCTGTTTAGTTTTTCATCTAAAGTGAAAGCAGAGCTGTATGTTTTAGGTTTTTAGAAATCCTAAAGTCAGAGCATGGTACAACATCTTTAGATGGAAAGTAGCGAGCTAACTTCAAACTCTGTTGAACTCGGTTTGGACACAAAAGTGGCTAACAAGATCATATACTAAGGATCCAAATATGAATTTTTATTTATAGATATATATATGTGTATATATGTGTGTGTATATGAATATGTGTATATGTGAATATGTGTATATATGTGAATATGTGTATATATGTGAATATATATGAGAGAGAGAGATCTCTAGATAGATCTCTAGATATGCGCATGCAGTCTTTTTATTTGAATAAAAAAATATTTGGAATCCTGTAGATCCCAACAACTCATGAAGTAGGAATTTCAGGAAGAAGCTACTGTATCAACGCCACACATGCTGATGGAGGAAGGAGAAAAGAGAATGAAAATGAACAAGATTGATAGGGCAGTGTAACAGAAAGCAGCAGAAATGGAAACAGATCAAACGCATCATTAGCATTAAAAGGATTTGAACACAGCATGGGCATTAACATACTTTTACCGCAGTTATATATCACCTTTGGGCTTTTGGAGCCTTGACCTTCAAGTGGGGAAAAAAAGCACTATGCTTCTTAAAAAACAAAAATAGATATTTGCAAAATTCTGCCTAAATATGTATTTTACCTGGTTAATGCGTGCGGCGGGGCGTGGTCTGCAGCGCCGCTGCAGGGGAGGCGGACGCACCTGAGCGGCACCCGCAATCACGCCTCGCGGCCTTAACGTCTGTGCTGTCTATGGCTGTATCCCAATTCAGGGTCTGCAGCCTTAAAGTACGCAGCCTCAACGATCCTCAAGGGCCGCGTACTCAAAGACCGCTAAGGCCGGAAGTGCGAGGCTTGTGTAATGGGACGGTCTAGCCTCCATTGCGCTGATACTGTTGTTTGTCAATAAAGTTTAAAAAATAAAAAAAAAGCCTCCGTTGCACTGCCCAGGTTGCCTAGCAACCATGATACTAACCACTGGACAGGTGTCATACAGCTTTGTTTGATAGAAATGAAGGAGAAAATCTTTTGTTCATTTGTTTGTTTGTTTCTACATGAGCTTTGATCATTCTCTGTAAGATTAAGCTCAGCTATTGAACGGCGTATATTTTAAAGTAAAGGCTTTAAAACCAAGTTAGTACAAACGTCACTAATGTCACATAACTTTGCCGACATGTGGCCAACAGGAATGTTTAACGTTCTTCGTTATTAAACATTTGCACATAAATACGTGACATAATATTCAGTACTTACTTTTCACAGTTTACTCTTCGGCCGCTCCGCTTCTGCCGTCTGCGGCAGAATTCTCCACACCGACTGCCGCGCTATGAATTGTGGGATATATGGGACCACGAAGTCTACACTGCCACCGCCTTAAAATTCAGGATAATGAAGGACGCATTTCAGGGCCGCATTTCGAGCAGCCTTTGAATTGGGACAGCCTTCGGCGCGCCGCTGTGACGTAATCGGCCTTGAAATGCGTACTTTAAGGCTGCAGACCCTGAATTGGGATACAGCCTATGCTGTTGTTGGTATGTGTCGGGCTGTGAGCTGAAAAGCTACAGCCGACTGTATGCATACAGCAACTGTGTGTAAAAAGTGGTCAATAAAGAGATGCTAAAAAGCAGTGGGTCTGCCGTGGTATGTTTACAATGGGACTTCTGCTCCTGAACCTCAGCGCACAGCGTCTGCAAATCGGGGTTGTACGAAGTCACTTTCATCTTTAGGCAGGACTGTAAGCTGTCATCTGTGAGCAGTGGCGGCCCTAGCCTGTTTGGCGCCCTGGGCGAACACTCCCTCTGGCAAACATCGGTGCAAATTATAAGTCTGTATTATAATGTCTGGTGTTTTCGTGTTTGTTGGTTTGTTTTTATTTTGTTTTATTTTGCGAGTTGGTTTTTAGATGCCGCTCCAGCCGGTCAGAGAATCCCCCGCCACCACGCCCTCTCCTCTCTGCGCCGCAAGCAGCAGGCGCACCTCGCAAACGAAGGGCACCCTTACTCCCAGCAAATGGGCGATAGAAAACCGATCGGTGCCTATGCCATTCCCAATATGCGCTGGCTGACGTCGGGGCAGCATGAGTACGAGCATTTTATTTAATTTTTTTTTGCCGATGCCCATGATGCCGCCCACCACCACGATGCTGCCCCGGGCAACCGCCCGTGTCACCCGTATCTAAAACCGCTACTGGCTGTGAGGCGTGAGCGGTGTTTGTTTTTAACATAGTTCACGATGGAGCTGCTGACATAATGTGGATCTGAATGCACAGCGTTGTAACAGCAGTCTGGCGAGGAAGGAGCGGCTAGCCGGTCCAGCGGGCATGTGGTGTGGAGGTTAGCCGGATAACACGGAGCCAGTCAGTTAAATTAAACAACAGACCTTTATTCCTTGTCAGCAACATAAGACCATACAAGCCAGGTCTCCACGGCTCTATACTGTCCGTACATACATGTGCGGGGATCGGTAGTCGCCGGTGCCAGGCCGTTACAACGGTGAGGTCTATCCTGAGAACAGAACACGAGCAGCATGTAATGGCTGCCACGCTATACTCACACACCCCCTAGGAGACTCCCCCCCTAGTGGTGCTATAACCCAAAAGGTTTGTTACAGCGTTCGGCGGGTACACCAGCTTCCGCGAGTGTGATGCTTATTTTGAGCGATGACAAAAATAATAGAATATAATTTTATTTTTATATTTCAATATCACAATAATCTTCCAATTTAGAACTACAAGTTAAAAAAGAACTAACATAAATAAAATACACTTCAGCTAAATACTTATAATTTATTTTCCCAAACCACGCAGAGCCGCACTATACGGACTAAAGAGCCGCGTGCGCTCCGGAGCCGCAGGTTGTCGACCCCAGCTGCTGGGGTTTTATTATAAAAACTGGGTGGGAAATGATTAAACAAATCTATTAATATATGGTGAATTTTGATCTAAGTTCAGTCTGTCTGTTACTCACAAATAGTACACAGTGGTGTTTGATCCCCAAGCAACTTTCAATAAAGTTGGTTTACAATGATATGCTGGCTTATGACATCAAGTCATTTTGAGCCCGATAGGACATTCCTATTGGCAGGTAGAAGCTGCAATTAGTTTTTGGCAAAGTTACATTGTTGTGATATTTTGATACCATGGTAGCATTTACAGGATATTGTTTTGTAGTGATATTATACAGAAAAGAGTTACTCAATAAGGCCCATTTACTAGTTGTTTTTCTCTTTCTCTCTGACCCAAGAATTGATGTGTAAGAATCACAGGCTGGTACCCCAAGGTCGAAAATACCACAGAGACGAGACCACTTCCTTACTCCCATCCTCCCTTCCTTATCTTTTAGAAAAGAGCTTGTTAAAAGCCAGGTGGTTTGTTTCAGAATTCACTAATGAAAGAACTCTGTATTCTATGCCTAGGAGTGTATTTTGCTGGGATGATCATAAATTGTAGCTGAACTGATAAACTACACAAAGGATACTTCTTTGCTCAGAAGGCAGGAAGACGTTTCCTTATTTGGTCTGTACCGGTTTTGAACTGAGAACCTGCTGACACACGAACCTTTTTTTCCTCTATATAAGCTGCTTTGTACTGAATAAACCTTTGAGTTGGTTTGGGAAGGCAACCTGAAGCAGTCTGTGTTTCCTTGTTCTCCCAAGCTACTCCCGGCGCTGTAACTAACCCAGCTGAACGGCATACTTGAGCGTTACTTTGAATAATTAGGAATCTTATAAGGAAAGGACAAAACTCTGCTTATCGGTGCTCACGCCTTGGAGGGAAACCGGGACGGAGATTTTCTCTTCATACATTAAAATGTATTTTCCAAAGAGAGTGGCAAACACTGGGACCAAAAAAGTCTGGATTGGTTATAATGAATTTAAAGATACTTTTAAAACAGTTCATTTCTTTATTTTATATATAAAACTACTATTTAGTGTGTAGTGTTTACTATTTAGTTTTTCCGCAATAAAGAGATGCTACTGTAACCAATCTTTCAGTATGACTCTTTGGGCTTAAATTATAACAGGTAAATGTATAAAATTACAAAAACATCAGTTGTAGCTCAGATGGTCCAGAAAGTTGGTAATTCACAGAATATTTCCCTTTTTGTGGACCCTTTGTAAAAAAAAAAAAAAAATTCTATAGTCAATAGTGAGAACAACAACGAACTTTTCTGTTATGTAATTGTTTACCTGTTATTTAACTCATTTGCTGTAGTTGGAATAGCCATGGGGAAGATCTTTATCAGTAAGTAAAGCTGCGAAACATCTTAATTTATATTTATAAGTCCAAAAATTCACGTCTTTTGTCACATTTTCCAAATGCACCCAGTGGGTCTTTGTCTGGCTAATCCTGCACCTTATGTTTGACACCCCTGACGTGCACGTTTTAAAATAGGGAAACATAAAACAGGCAAGAGTTACAACTGTGGATAGGAGAAAACAATAAGTAATAGGAAGAAATAACTCAATTTATTGAAAAGCTCAAAAAGATACAATTAAAAAGTTATCAGTAAGTGTTTTATCACGCCACATATAAAGCATTAATTTCAGCATTAGTTAATTTGACTGACGGGCTGCTTTGTAACGTTGTAATCCACCTCCCGATCAGCGTGTGGCGGTAAAGCACCAACCAGTTGTTTGCCAAGCGTCAATAAACCTCAAAGAAGAAGAAGACCCCAAAGTTATTACCGGAAGTGAGTTTTTTTTTTCTGTCTCACGCTGTTAAGGAAACCTACAGACACATTAGCAATTTCCTCCTTGACTCTAAAGGTAAACAGTTGTATACTACCTACAAACAACATGTATCATTTATAAGCAGGTAGCCGTGTAGTGTGTCTTTTTGTTTCAGTAGTTTGTGCCTGATATATACGAGCTCACAGCGGCTACCTGGCAGTTGTGTAAGCTAGTTTAGCTGCTTCTGGCGGCTTGTGCTAGCTAACGCAAAGTGAAAGCTAATGGGGACAGGGCACGATAGAAAAGAAAGCGGCTAGAAAAAGTTACTCTTTAATGTTTGGAGGATAGAAATGTATATGAATTTCCAGGCTAAAGTTCAGGTTTCACCAAACCAATCGTGCGGAGCCTGTCTTAAAACCAAAACTTAAAAACAAGTTCATCAGGAAACGTTACTGCACTGCGAAGGAGCATAGCTTAGCAGGAGTAACTATAGGTTTATTTCGCTTGTGGTTCAGCTGCTGCCACTTTGTTTGTGTCCCCATACAGCCGAGGCTTTATTAGGCTAGAAAAGAGAAACTTTATTACGTTTAATGTTCTGTGACTCATTTGCGCTGACGGTTAAGTGTTGCTCAATAAATAAGTCTACTTGCTGTTATTATTTCCATCCCTCTGAGCTAACCATGGCAGGTTTTTCTCCTTGTAACAGGTAACGAGAGATGAAAAAACAAGATACCGAAGAGTCCACCACTCAGGCTGCGGAGAATGCTCCACCCGCAGCAGCAGCAGCAGCAGGGACAGAGTCACCTGCAGCTGCAAAGGACAGCTTGGAAAGCAACAGCCCCAAAGAGTCTGAACCACAGACACCACAGACGGATACACCTCCACAGGGCGAGGAGGGGGCGGGGGGAGGTAAACTGTGAATTCATGTCAATCCCAGCTGTACTAGATTATATAGTAGGCTAAAACCTTCCTATCATCAGTCATTGTGACTCAAGTTTATCATCTTGTTTCCCAGTTGTGCATGCGTATGTATACCAAGCAACCAAGATGTAGGAGTAGAGCTTTTTTCTCTATATCATTGATTAACCTGCCAACCCAAAGGGTGCATGTACCTGTTTATTCCCTGTGAAAGGAGGAGGCAGGAGGACACATTTTTTTCAGTTGTCCGGTATAGTTTATAAATTCCTGCGCTAAAATCTTTATTTTTTTGCAAATTACTCATCTGCTGTCTACCTAATTGGCCTGGCAGTTGGTCGTGATGGTTCTTATTCTGATTTGAAGCAAGGAAGCTTGCTAATAGCAACATGTGATCCAGTGCTTTAGTTAGTGTGTCCTTCCCACTACAACCTGTGGGGGGGGTTGTACTCTACAGCCTGCTGTAGACTTCTGTGGGGAAACTTTGTAGAGCCCAAGATGTAACCTATGTAAGTGCATTTATGCTGGTGCTGATGCAATATTTGTTAATTAACATAGGGCAGGGATAGCTCAGTAGGTAGAGTGGTGGCCCCATGATCGGAAGGTCGGGGGTTCAACTCCATTGAACGGCTACCCTGAGGTACCCCTGAGCAAGGTACCGTCCCTACACACTGCCCCCCGGGCGCTGCATTGGTGGCTGCCCACTGCTTCACTGGGTGAATGGGTTAAATGCAGAGGAACTATTTCCCTATGGGGACTAACACATACACATTATTATTATTATTATTATTATTATTATTAGGGCCTTGTCCCAGTGTTTCACATGCAGTGCCTCCTGGGTCCTCGCTTGTTGCTGTGGTCAATTTTTTTTCAGGGAAGTTTTCCCTCTTCTTTGTACATTCCTTCATGTCCATTCCAATAGTTTCAGCAGTCTTATATTGTCCTTACATTGATGCTAGGATAATTATTTTTTATACTGAGAGAAAGTTATCCCCTCACTGATAAATTAAAATACTGCTGCGAAAAACAACAACATTCAGCATTTAACAGCAGTATGATAAAGTATACAATCAAAAAGCTCAGTGCCTCTTTCATTTTCTGCATCTCAGTTGTCAAACTCCAGCTATGAAGTGTCTGCATCAGTTTCAGTGCCATGCAAGCATCATAAGCAGTGTTAGGAGAATTTACTAATAACAGGTTCCAGCTCCATATTATAATGCTGGCACCACTAATGTTTGACTCTACACTGCTTAGAATAGTTTGCTCTCTGTTGTTGTTTCATTTTTCTTATTCTTAAGCCTTTAATTTGCTAAGTGAGATCCAGCACGGCCAAAGTGACAGTTAGGAAGTAGAAATGCTGACCATGTGATCATCTGTGATGATGATAACGCCAGTCACAGGCCTTCAGATGTGCATCATGGTTGAGGACGGTGCCTAAAAGCATCTCAAAGTCACAAATCAATTAAAGATTCTCATTTATTTTCAAGATATTGTAAATAAAACTTCTAAACTGTTGCTGATCTGATAATCTGGGTGTTTTTTGTTTTTTTTTAAGGAGTATCATTTCCAACACGGTCTTGTAGCAAGTGAGCTTCATATTTCTCTCACTGTAACTGTTTAATTCTACATTGTATTATTTATTTGTTTTTTTAATTATTATGAACTGAAAACCCAAAATGCAACATATTTGACTTCAGAAGAAGAAAAGCAGCTAGTCATTTTTTCCCCTCCATTCTGTGTAATTGCAGAGGCTCCGTTGTCTCAGTGTGACATGGCAGAGGAGCTGAGCCGGCAGCTGGAGGACATCCTTAGCACCTACTGTCGGGAAAGCATTTCAGACGATGCCAGCGACTTAGCTAACGGCCAGTCACACAGCCCAGAGCTCAATGGCCTGACCAATGAGAGGGAAGATGACAAGCCAGAGGAAAGCAAAGTCAACGGTGGTGACAGCGGTGTGGGAAAGCAGCAGAAGAAAACTCACGAGAAGAAAAAAGTGAAGGGTCTAGGTAAGAGGGGGAAGTGTGTTCAGTGTTTTGGCCAGATTTATAGGAATAAGTGGGAGAAATTAGTGTGAGCGCGCTGCACAAGTGGAAAGATTGTGAGTAATCTACTGAAAATGCAAATTTATGACTGCACACAAAACCATTTTGTTTCGGTAATCACCAGCACAGTCCAGAAATGCAAATCAGGCGATATAAAACGAGTAGATTTTGTGTATCTTTTCAATAACGGCATAGCATTTCAGGTCAAAGAGAAGCAGACTCAACATGATCTGAAATACAGCCTGTAACAGATGTTACAGGCTGAGGCAGCTGTTCTCTGAGAGCGCTAATGGAGTGCAGCAGTATTCATCCAGAGAAGGGCTGCTGTTGTCTGCTCGACAAACCTGAAGTTTGTATATGGCAGCTCATGTGATATGTTTAGAAGGAGGACACAAAACATTAGATACCATATTGTTAATGTCTTGTTGGACTTAATGTAATGTTTGTGTAAACTTGTGCATGACTCTTGTTTTTCCTGCATTTGTGTCTGCAGGTGTTTATTAAAGATAAAAGAAAATAATGTGACTCTCAGACAGCTGCGAGTAGCAGAATCTCGAGTTCCACTTAGTAGTACCTGAACGACATAACGTGGGAGTCAGACATTCTTGTTTGTCACGTTTGCGTCAGGTCTGTCTGAGTCACATTAAAAGATTAATTTTTAAAGATGCTTCAGTGTGTTAAGTGAAAGATTCTATATCTAAGGAAAGTTAGAAAAATAAGTGGATTTGTGGCACAGAGCTCTGTGTGTGTTCACTGCTGAGCTTGTGCTCTCTGCAGTTTTTTGAAATGTGACTAAAACCATGAAACACCGCAAACTGCTCGGCTCACTGTAAAAGTGCTGCCTGTAATACATCTGTGGCCTACTTGTCTACTCTTTTAAAATAGCAGTGCTGCAGACTAGGGCTGGGCGATATGTTTTAGTACAACTTTGGTAAGCCGCACTGCTTGATGGATTGTCAGAGCATTACGGCTGCCGTAGTGAGGAGCTTCGCGGAGTAATCTGGGTCCAAAACTCCGTCCGCTTCAGGTCCCAAAGTCAAACGAACACTAAGAGTTAAAAACGGTCTAAATTCTTTCATCTTTAATTAAATCATCAACGTTGCTGCTTTATCGGGTGTAACAATTAAGTTTTACATCCATGAAAACAGAATTTATTAAATTTAACAGAGTTATAAGCTAACAGGAAGTTAGCTCGCTAGTTTCCACCTAAACATTTCATACCAAGTTCTGACCGAGAGATTTAAACTAATTAAAACGTACAGCTCTGCTACCACTTCCAACATAAATGAAGACAGAAAACTAAACAGCAGTGGCGTTTGCAGGGTTATTACTGGACTACCTGGTATATAATGTTGTGCTATGTGATTGCTAGCGACACAGCTATGTTAGCATAACATTAGCACAGTGAAGCTGGAGGATGAACACCAACTTTTTTTTTCCACTCGATAAAAGTTAACGTGAGGGATTCTGGTGGTCAGGGACAAATGCAATCGCATAGCAGGATGCTATACACGGGCCAAACTTCAGTCAGGAGAACAACTGAGATCATTCATCCACAATACAAGGTTAGTTATTAATATACTGCAACAACATGGGACTAGAACAGCTGCGAGAGAATTCAACATTAATGAATCATTGTTACGGAAGTGGAGGAAGCGCAGTTTTTGGATTTCCCCATATTTCAAAAGTGCTTCATCTCTTTGCTATGACTGTCGTCCGGCATAATTTGCAGATGATAATGGTTTTAGCCGCTGCGATGCTTTCGACCAAAACAGTCGCAGCTTGATGACATCATCAACATGCGCTATCGCGATAGAGCGGTATAGTCAAAATCTCTGTCGTTGGCCAAATTTATATCGTTTCTATCGTATATCGTTTATCGCCCACCCCTACTGCAGACCAAACGTATGCAGGATTTGCTGCTGCTTCTTCATTCATGCATGTGTGCACATGTGCATTCCGCCTCACTACTGCTACCTCTACAAATAAGTATCTTACACTGCCTTCTGTAAATTGGCCTATCTCTTAAAAATGTCCATCCAAAATCCATCGGTTTGTAGTAGTTTAAAAAGCTGCTAACATTTGTGTGAGGTGGGCGAGGTTCCATCCTGATGTTTTTATTTGCCTTTGTTGTGAGCAGGGAAGGAGATCACACTTCTCATGCAGACTCTAAACACACTGAGCACCCCCGAGGAGAAGCTCGCAGGCCTCTGTAAGAAGTATGCTGAACTGGTGAGTAGTTCTTCTGAAGTTTGTAGCTTTGGCTGTAAACGTCTTTGTTATTATGTTAACGATCACAAATACTTCAAAACATATTAACAGCAACATTTTAACTGCTGTAAAATTTCCAGTCTGCCTCTAAGGACAAAAAAAACCAACCCAAGCATCATATTGTTTGCGTGCACTATTCTTACATTTGAAAGTGTGTAAGGCAAGTTTGTCCTGTCGTGTCTTATAGGAAAGCAAGGCAGCGTCCTGCATAAAAAGATATAAATGTTAGTTTGGCGGTGTCACACCTGAAAGAGCATGTGTGTGTTTTACAGTTGGAAGAGCACCGAAACACCCAGAAGCAGATGAGGGTGCTGCAGAAGAAGCAGAACCAGCTGGTCCAGGAGAAAGACAACCTGAGGAACGAACACAGCAAGGCCATCCTGGCTCGCAGCAAGCTGGAGAGTCTGTGCAGGGAACTGCAGAGACACAACCGCACACTCAAGGTACAAAAACAGACCCTGTCCTCTATCTGTTACATGTATACACAACGCACATGCACAGAGACTCCTTAAATTTAGTCTTATTTTACTGATGAAGCGAAAACAGTTTGGAGGGTAAAGCTGACGATCACATAAAAAAAGCACTCGTTGTCATTATCATCATCGTGTCTCCGCAGGACGAAGGAATGCAAAGAACCCGGCTGGAGGAGGAGAAAAGGAAGGAGGTGACTTCTCATTTCCAGGTGACGCTGAACGACATCCAGGCTCAGATGCAGCAGCACGACGAGAGGAACGCCAGCCTTCGACAGGAGAACGCAGAGCTCGCCGAGAAGCTGAAGAAACTGTATGAACAGTACAAACTCCGCGAAGAAGTGAGTAGGCAGTGTTTTCCTTCACCCGCTTGGTTAAAGCGCCACCAGTGAGTCCTCAGTTATTTGAAACTCTCGCCTGTCTGACTTTGTAATCCCAAAAGCACATAGAGAAAGTGGTGAAGCACAAAGACCTGCAGCAGCAGCTGGTGGATGCAAAACTGCACCAGGCCCAGGAGCTGCTCAAGGAGTCTGAGGACCGCCACGACAGAGAGAAAGACTTTGTAATTATCCTTTTCTTTTTAAAATAAATACACAGTCCAAGCACAAGACTGAATCTACACATGCAACAATCAATCTCTAACGGCTTTGTTTTCTCCCTCCACAGCTGTTAAAAGAAGCAGTAGAATCCCAGAGGATGTGTGAGCTCATGAAGCAGCAGGAAGTTCACCTCAAGCAGCAGGTTTCCCATCAGCCTTTCAGATTTTCCAGCTGAACTCGGGAATGACTTTAACATTTAAATAATGTTGTTGTTGTTTTCCCTCACTAGTTATCACTGTACACGGAGAAGTTTGAAGAGTTTCAGACCACCTTGTCCAAGAGCAATGAGGTCTTCACCACTTTCAAGCAGGAGATGGAGAAGGTGAGGCGACTCCACTAACTTGAAGGTGTAAGAATGAAACGTCTCCGTGGTTATTGGCTGTGGTGACAGTCTTGTTCGCTTTGTGCTTACAGATGACTAAAAAGATCAAAAAGCTCGAGAAGGAGACGGCCATGTATCGCTCCAGGTGGGAGAGCAGCAACAAGGCCTTGCTGGAGATGGCCGAGGAGGTAAAGCTGGTTTGAGCTTATTGTGTCCACGTCTGCTGTTAAGAAGCTGTAAGATCTGTGTTTGAATAGTGTAGCTCATAGGTGTCAAACTCTGGCCCGCGGGCCAGATTTGGCCCGCAGCCTAATTACATTTGGCCCGCGAAGCCATACCAAATTATTATTAGAGCTGGCCTACTGTTATTATACAGCTAATATATATATTGTTTAGTATTAAGCTTTGCTTGTTCCATATTCAGTTTTTCAGCAAAACTTCTTTGAGTTCATAAGAAGAGATTCATTCTTAAATCTGGAGGAAGATTTTTTTTTTTTTTTTCCAATAAATATTAATGTTAGCCCGCGACTTTGTTCCAGTTTTGAATTTTGGCCCACTGTGTATTTGAGTTTGACACCCCTGGTGTAGCTATTTAAAAATCTGTATATCTTTTCAGCTGTCTTAGAGAACAGCCCCACTAGTATACTAGTGGACAACATCCTTGCTTTTATTTTGAAGGGGCAGTCGCTGCTAACTGTCTAACAAGATGAAGGGCAATCCCCAAATTAACCTGCAGCTAGTTTATTTTAGGATGCCACATAAATAGTGGAGTATGTGCCACTATTTTGAGCTGCAGAGCAGAACAAGGATTATTGGCCCTTCTATGCTCAACCTGTTTACCCTTGTGAACAGAGGCGTGTGATAAAAGTGATGCTACAATAGCTGAGCTGAGCTTTGTTGTCGATTTACCTCCTTTATTTGTATTCTAGTGGGGTTTTTTTATACTTTATGATAAGACTGCAGTGAAATTGGCATGAAGCTGCAGTATAAATGGTTACAGGCTTCGTTGACATCACATTTGGTTCACAGACTATCACATTTGTAACCTAACCTTAAAATTTCAAGCCACGGTTCTAGACAGTAGAATCTTACGTAGACAGTTTATTATGGCTGCAGTGTTTATATTCATTTGTGATTCTATTCATTTTTTTTTTTTTAAGCAAGTGTGGGTGTAGGAAGTGGATGCATCAAATCTCCAGTCAAACCAAAAGTTTGGTGACTTTGCACATGAACAGTAGAATAACCTGCAAGTCTTGTTTTGCAGCAAGGTTATGACATCACAGGTGACTCAGTCCAGAGTCCTAACGATGTCACTGCCTTTGGGTCTCTCTTAGGGTTTTAAACAGATCCATGCTTACTCGTTTTATGGATACAAGAAGCCAAAAACCTCACTAATGGGAATCTTTTCTGTGACAACATGACAATGTTTCAGCTTCCTTACAGCTGAAAGTGGAATCTTCTGTTTTTCAATGCACAGATGGCTAAAAAGCTGACAGCACAGTGTGTGTGTGTGTGTGTGTGTGTGTGTGTGTGTGTGTGTGTGTGTGTGTGTGTGTGTGTGTATTCACAGAAAGCCGTTCGGGATCGTGAGTTTGAGGCACTTCAGGGAAAAGTCCAGCGGCTGGAGAAGCTCCGGCGGGCGCTCAAAGTCGAACGGAATGAGCTGAACAAGAAGGTCCAGAGCCTCAGCGGCGGCACAGAGGGAGCCCCCACCTCCAACCCAGGGACTGACTCCCCCTCTCCACCACCTACAGACTCTCTGCTGGACCCTGGCACCTGCCCTGCCCCTGACACCACCACCGCCTCCACCTCTTCTTGCTCCCACTCCTGCCCCTGTGAGCCGCAGCTGGACACAGACACCCTGCTGGAAGAGGCAAACACTCAGCCTGTCCAGGCACAGGAATGAAGCAGCACTGCTCACACGTTCTTCAAACCACCCACAGATAAGCCACCAGCCTGCAACCCACTACTCCTCTGCTGGATGGAGCCCATGTTAAACACTGGGACCGAAGCAAACTGCAAAGTCACACCTTTATGTACGAGGCCAGAATACCAGATCAGCGTTTGACAGAAGGGTTTAGTTGTAATCTCCCAGAATCTTCTGCAAAACAGTCTGCTGGTGTAATTACATGCACACTATCACACAGTTACCGTGAATGTATAATGCAATTTTCTGCAATAATTTGGTTTTCATGGTTTTTATTAGCATCTATCGAGTGTGTTCATCTACAGGAAGCAACTAATCAGCCACGCAAGTTAATATTATTACAATACTTTCAGAAATAACTATAGTGAAAGGATAGTGATCATATTTACAAGTTATTATCTACATATTAATGTCAACATGTGTAAAAATGATCAAAGAACAGAAACCAAGGATGACATAAAGGACCACCATAACAACATAAACTATGCCATGTAGTCATATTAACACATCTAAATTTGTGTATATACAAATTATCAAAGCATTTTTAGCAAAGTAAAAGTATATATAAAGCTCGTATGAATAAATTTACATTAACTACATCACTTTGTTCATTCTATTTACTAAGATCCAGAGCAAGTGTTTATTATTCTGACTCTTCATTTCTAACTCTCGAGTTTGTTCCCCTTGTTTTGAAGTTTGCCATATTCTTCCTTTCCGTTTCTGAACTCACATGTACTCCTGTACTCAATACTCTGAGTAAATTTATTTCCTGCTTTAAATCACACCATGAGAGTTCCAGAAACATCTCTTTTAAAAGCATTATCCATATTTAACATATTGATTATAATAACGTATTTGAAATAACCTCCAGGGCCCTAATATTGCTCTTAGACTGTATGTAAACGGTGGCCACAGTGGCATCACCCTTTGGTTTCTAAGTCACATTTAAAAGCCTCAAATTTAGTGTTTTTGCCACGACTGTGTTGGATTTTCAAAGTCAGAAGTGACTTTTCATCTTTGTACAAGCATGTGGAAATATTAAATTAACAGCTAATGCTAATTAGCTTGGTTGCATTCATAAATTGTAGGGGTGCGAACCGAAGGCACACATGCCTGCAACAGAATAAAATAGTAGAATTTCAAGCTAGATTACAAACTAATTTCATTTAATAAAATCTTCCAGAAGGTCCCAGCAGCACAGACATAGTGGAGCTGTCCAGCTCAGAATTAGCTGACCTAGCAAACAGCAATTAACTACTCTAGCTCCCTGTGTCGGTCAGGGCAGGCATTGATTCACATGGATAACAGGTTATCATGGTGGTGTTATGAAGGGATTTGTTTTCCCAGGCTGGAAACGTTTTTATTAAAGTTTAAGGCTTTGGGGATGGACTTTTGAAGCAGGCCTCAAGTGGCCACTGGAGGAATTGCAGTTTCTGGCACTTTGTGTGTTCACATTTTTCAGGCCCAGAGGTTTTTGTCGCATCATCTTCAGATCTCATCATGTTTTTTTGACAATTAATAAATATTATTTTATTAGCTGACAATCCCAAAATATATGTCCGTATTAACCTCATTACTAGTGTGCATGTAATTCCACCGACCGCCTCTGTGTTGTGCTGTTTTCCTACACCTCCGGTCCAATCGGCCCGGCAACAACAGCAACACTGCTGTAAGGTGAAGCCAACCTGCTTTATGGTGTAAAGAGTCAGAGGGTGTGTGTGTGTGTGTGTGTGTGTGTGTGTGTGTGTGTGTGTGTGTGTGTGTCCAGTTAGTCTGCTTCAGTTTGCCCGCTGATTGTCAGTGTTTATCCTAAAACTCACATTATGTGTTTCTTTCAAGTGAAGTCTTAACAGCAGCATCAGGCACAATATTTTTAGCAGGTTCAATTCATAAAAACAGAAAATCATTTTTAGGCCTGTCCTGAAATTTGAGTCCCACTTATTAAAGCGTCGTACTGATGTTTAAAATGACAATTTTATGGCACTTAAGCATGTTATTTTTGAAAATTAAGGCAGCACATTACTGATGTGACATCAGATAAATATCAGCCACTGATCGACCAATCATTTTACTTGTCAATATTCCGATATCTTGCATTCCTGAACTTTTGGTCCGTCTGCATTGTTGGAAGATGAATCTGTCATTGAAATGTGGAAATCTGGCAGAGCACGCTATACTCTCCATTAATTTAGAGCATTGCTAAAGAGTTTTAGTTTTATGACGTCAGTTGCTTTTTGCTAATTTTGTTCGGGTTTGTCACTCTGCAGTAATGACCTCTTTAAACTCCATGGTTGTCTGGTGTGTGTATGGTGAGTGTGTGTGATAGAAGTACTTTCAGTTTTTCCCAGTTGAATGTTCAAAGACCTCTATGCAACGCTCGTGTCTTGGTTTTATTCTATGGCAGTCTGATCTGACAAGCACTCAGCTGAGAATGTATTTTTATTATATCCACTGTCCTGCATGGATGTGCTGTACCACACATGACATCTCACAGAGGAACACACACACATATAGATTTGTTTTTCCTTTTGGCCCACACTTGAGCTACACCGGATTGTTTCGATGTTGAGTGTAATGTTGTGAATCTCTTGAAAGATGCACCGACTGAGCCGATGTGAATACAGATGGAAAAGTTAGACCGCCTCTTAATGGACCATTGAACACGTGTCTTCTGACATTCTTGTGTACTACATAATATGTAGCACTGGGAACAGAGTGACGACTCATTTTCATCTGATATCGCAATGACAAACCTAATCTCTTCCATTGTCCCGTAGGACAGATTCATTCCTGTCCCACAGTGGACTGAGAGGTTCACTCACCATAAGAAGGAACCAAAGATCTTTCTGTTTTTGTTGTTTTTTTGGTCTTTTGCAGTACTTTTCTCTGGCTCTGTATATTTTGTTTCTTGTTAAATAAAAGAACTGACTTAGCTTTGACCTTCTAGACTCAAGCTTTTATCTGATGCTTCTATAAATATTTGGTCAGTGATGCTTGTGTTTTGAGTATGTGTGTAATTTTGCCTCAGTTACAGCACCACGGTGGATTTTAAGTCGAGGTGGTTTTCCAAAAATGCCGCATTAACTGTTCAGGAATTCCAGACATTTTTCGATACTGTGCCGAATTTTAGAGTGTCAGAAGTCCCTGGACTTTCAGACCTTTAAGATCAGGGATGTCAAAGATGTTTTATGTCATTGACCATGTATGGCCCAATTTGAGCTTTAAGGGGCCAGCCCAGTAAAGCTCCCCATACTATAAGCGGGAAAAGAGGTTGAATTAAATGTTTAATCCCAGAGTTATCTAATTATAAGGAAATGATGTGCAATTTAAATAGTACATCTCAGGTCTTGCATGGTAGACAAATGTTACTGTAGTAAAGTAATCTGTCAACAAAACTCTTTGGGTTTAAACTGTAAGAAATGAACGCGCTGCAGAAAAAAACGTTCTGTTAGCTCATTGCTGAGACTGACCTGTATTATAAAACAGGAGATTTTTATATTATTTTCAGAAAATTGCTGAGTTTTTTTGCTGCAAAGTTAAAAAACAATAACATGAATTTCTATAGTAGATACTACAAAAAAATAACACACCTACACTTTTTTGCTAAGTCCCTGATAGGTTTATTAATTAATTAATTTATTATTTTTCACCTAATGATCATTTCCCCCGCCTGCATCTACAAATTATTGGACTTGGTATTGAATTATTATTCAAGATTCTTTATTTGTCACATGCATGGTTATACAGGTATAACACGCAGTGAAATGTGACCTGATACATATATATGATACTGGTTTTATGTGTTTTTACATTCAAATAAATGTAAAATTGAGGAAAAGGCAAAGGGAAAATTATACATGTGGAAATAAGTTAAAATGATATACTGTTATAAATTACAATTATCTGTAGCAATATATACGCTGTTTATAGTATGGGTGAAAATATGTCTGTGAAGGTTCTCAGTCATCCAGGTCATCGTAGCTTCTCGGATGAGAGGTGAAACGTCTTCAAGCAACTTAAAGAAGTCCAGACGCTTTTCTTTGCAAGCTCCTTTGACTATTGGTGAAAACGAATTTAATCAGACTGGAGCCTCAACAAATATGTTGGAATAATTGGGTTCAAAAAAGATAAAAAGACTAGAGATTTTGGGGATTTTCTTTTTAACTACTATAGTAACTATTAAGCCTTACTCTACTCTCCTAATCAGAAGGTGGCGGTAATGCGCTCGAATGCGATTTCCCCATCTGCCAAGAGAAGAAGAACATTTCCTCTTCCGCCGCGGCTCCGGTGCATGAAACACGAGTGTTCATCATTTCTCTTTCAACGGGCGGAACGGCGACAATACTGGACTTGCTGCCGACACTTAGCTGACAAAAATGGTTAGTGTGCTCCTTGGTAAATGGTTCCTGATGCTAATATTTGTTTTCGAATGAAGCGGTTTGTTGATACCAGGATCGCCTCCAGCTTAGCTAGCGTAACTGCTGGCGCTACCGTTAGCTTAGCTCGAAAATTAGCCAGCGACAGCTTATATTTGAGCTAGTGTTAGCTGGGTGTAGCTAAAAGAGGTTTCGCCGGCCTGTGGTGGTTGCTACAAGTGGAAAGCTGCTTTCCCGTTTTCTTCTTTGCCATTTTCTCTCGTTCGCTGTTTTGCTAAGCATTTCAACGTTAATAGTTGTTTCGTCATCGTAGAGCCCTGCGCATTGTTTCCCCTTTGAAACAGGGCGACCTGCTGATCTAAAATCAATGTTTGTGTTGTTCACAGAAACCGATCCTGCTCCAGGGCCACGAGAGGTCCATCACTCAGATCAAGTACAACAGAGAAGGAGACTTGTTGTTCTCTGTAGCTAAAGACACGGTGGGTTCATAATAGCCAAGCTCACTCATCCATTGTTTGTTAGTTTGTTTGCAGCTGGCCAACTCGTTGATCATCTCTCTCTACAGGTAACTAACGTATGGTACTCGGTCAATGGCGAGAGGCTTGGTACCTACAACGGACACACAGGAGCTGTGTGGTGTGTGGACTGTGACTGTATCCTTATTTTTCTGGAAAAAATGCTTGGAAAAGTTTTTTTTTTGTAGCAAACGGATGTAGTTTGAGATTGTAATGTATCGATCGTGCATGCTCGATCATCCAGGTAAGGAAATTCAACTAAATTAATTATGTTCATCGTAAAAACATGAGCTGAGGTGGTCTTAGATATGTGACATCGAGATGAACAGAGCAAACTTTCTGGGATGAGTTTGTAATCCTGTGATAGTGTCTGTGCTGAGGATACGCATGTTTGGATCCTTAACTTGTCTTCTCTCAGGGGACACTAAAAATGTGCTAACAGGATCAGCAGATAACAGCTGTCGGTTGTGGGACTGTGAGACCGGTAGGTTGAAAACAAGTTAATCATTTTTCTTTCACTAGCTTTGCATGATTTCAAACTAATCTTCATGTGTGGTATACTGGGCTTTGCTCTGCTCCCTCAGTTGATCTTCTCTCTCAGTCTGGCTGTTTTAGCTCCTTTCATGTTAAGTGTAACTATATTCTGATTGGCTGATTGGTGGGTGGGGCTTCTGTGCTCACAGCCTAAGTTTTCAATGACATATAGAG